GGGCCCCGCCAGGGCTCGGCGACTTCTGGGCGCCCTCGGACTTGGTGGAGGCGAGGAGCACGCCGGACTTCCACCAGGACGGTGACATCACCGCGCTGCTCCGAGCTGGGATCCCGCCCCGTGCGAGGCCGAGGGGCCTCCGCCGTGCACAGGCATGGAGCGCGGTGGCCGCGCCTGCCCCCGGTCACACTAAATGCACTTATTTATCGTTACTTTCAGGAGCCGAACAACGAGAAAACCAACAACGGCATCCACTACAAACTGCAGCTGCTCTACAGCAACGGTAAGCGCCTGCCGCCCGCCCCGCGGCCGCCGGCCTGCCTGCCGCGAGACGGTTAGAGGACCCACAGCTTCGGAGAGGAAAATGACGTGGACGTAAACTCGAAACCTTCTCCTGGCATAGAAAGGAAAACAAAACACCCGCGATCAATAAGTCGATGCCACTTCCCGTGATTAACAGGGGGGCTCTCGGTGGTAGAAAGTCGGGAGGGATCGATATGCGCTCCAGCCAAACATCACTTTTAAGTGACTTGTTTAAATTTTGCAAATTAATGTTAATTATTGGGACGGGGGGTAGCTCCATAAACCGAGCACAACTTACTTCCGGTGCACGAGTTTCAAACAGACCCTCCAGAGACTTTGCAAAGAGTTCAGACTGCCCTCCATTTGGGCCTCCTGTGTTCTAAAAATAAAGGAACACAAGGGCGCGCGCAGCAAGCAGGCCTGCTCTCCGGGGTGCTGCCAGGCCAAATTCCTTGCATCTTTCAGTGAAAACCCTGAGAGTCTTAAGGTTCTTAATTAAAGGGGGGGGGGGAGCCCGAGTGTGGAGTGCTGGGGGTCTCTGGCCTTTTAAAGGCTTCCCCGAAGTTGTGCCGCACTCCTGGAGTTGAGCCGCCTCCGGGCTCTGGCTCGTCCGGCTCAAGGCCCAGTGCCTGATGAGCCTTTGTGTGTTTCTCTGCAGGAGTTCGAACCGAGCAGGACCTGTATGTTCGCCTCATCGACTCAATGACCAAACAGGTGAGCAAGCTTTCGCCTTTGCCTTGCGTTTGGCTGCTGAGCTGGGGTTGTCCAGGGGTCCCCAAGTGACAAATGGGGCTCCCGGATTTGTTTTTCTTTTCACTTTCTTGACATGCTAATTCGAAGTCAGTATTTATTGGGATAAACGAAGTGATTGGTGAAAGAGTTTACGTTGTCATTAGAAGAGGACATATATGCTTTATTAAAAGGCTTGTGATTGGAATCAAATTCTGTCGTAATCAATTTTAGTAATTAATATTTGACAGAAACGGTTCCCGATTGTTCCATCCCCTTGTTTATCTTTCAAGGTTTCTCTCTGTGCTTGGAAGCATTTCATTGATTTTTTTTTTTTTTTTTGGAAGTATAACAAAAGCAACCAACTCCTCTCTCAAGCTCGTTGAGTGGGGCTTGATCAGCTCACTTTTTCCCCTTTGCAGCATGATGATCCAGTAACATGAGACGTTTATTTGGATTTAAAAGTGAAATGTGTTGGGGTGAAAAGTCACCTTGTTCCCTAGTCCATCTTCACCTCTCAGCCCCCATCTCCATAATTCAAACTCCCAGCTCCAGGGGTCATCCAGACCTGTCCAGTGCTCCCGAGCCCCGCCTGCCCCGCGCCCCCCTGTCATACCTTGTAAATAACACAATTACAAGCAGTTCCTTATTAAATTATTTAACCTGTCGTGGTCAACTCTCAGATGCTAACTGTTGACTATCAGTAATGTGATTAAGTGCAGCAAAGCCCTCCTTCCTTTTGGGCATCCTGCAGTCTCCCTGGCTGCAGGCTGTGGGTGTTGTTGTGTTGTTTTAAAGAGGTCCTCCTCCCATTTTCTGAAAATAGACTGTTTCTAGAGGGCCGAGTCCAATGTGTAAACGAAACCCACTGGGCGCAGGTTGATTTAAAATCCCTTCCAAGCTGGACTGCAGGCTTGGACATGAAAGTAGTAGTGCCTTCATTTTCGGTGCTAAGTTCCAGAAGTCCAAGCCCGGTGAAGAAGAACCCCTGCGGCTTCCTGCCCCGCGCGCGCCTCCCACTCTCTGCACGCAATTACTTCTTGGGTTTTATTCGCCTAAAACAAAGTTTGCCCTCCCTTAGCCGCAGTCGGGTTAGATTTTTGTGCAACGGTGTTTTTTTTTTTTTTTTTTTTTCTTAGAGCAGGGCAGGTACACTGCGGGCTTTCTGACAAAGCGAGCAGTGTGCCCTTCCGCCCTGTGAGTTGGTTCAGTGAAGCCTCTGGACCTTGGGCCCCTTCTTGACCTGAGGGTTTTATTTCCTTTGTATGTAATGGCTAAACGTTTTCGGAAACCGCGGTAGTGTCATGAAGAGGTTTCTGTGGGCAGCGCCAAGTTGCCCTGTAGTTGCTTGGGGAGGGAGGAGGCTCCGCTTTAAGTACACTTTTATTGTTCATGTGGCCCGGTACCCTGGCAGTATAAACAGGGCTGAAAAGAAAGGCATTTAATCTCCTGCCGGTGACGGGGAAAGAAAAAAAGAAAGAAAGAAAGAGCCCAGTAACTGATCAAAGAGTCAATGGCGCTGAACCGACAGTTTATGGATTTCTGTTTGTGCTACAAAATAAAAAAATAAATCACGTATCAATCCGGGGATCCGTCCGCGAGCAGCCGCGGCTCTGGGAAGCACCCGTGTCGCCGCCGCTGCGCGCCCCGCAGCCAGCCGCAGGCAGCTCGTTGGCCGCCGGTGACATCCAGCCGTTCTGTGGTTCCGGGCGGAGTCCGGGTGGGAGGCTGGGCGCGAGCGGCTCGCGGGGGACCCGGCGTTTGTCCCCGGAGCGCCGCCCGGCCTTTGAGAGAAAGGCTTTGTGAGCCGCCGGGAAGGGAGGGAAGCGGCCCCCGGGCCCGGCGAGGTTGGGAGGAGCGGCCGGACCCTGTCCAGCGGGGACGGGGACGGCGACGGCGCGGGGCTTCCCCTCCCCCTCCCGCGGGTCTGGGCCCCGCCGCCCCGCGGCTCGCGTTTCGCCGGCGGCCGGCTCGGCCCGGCCCCGAGCGCACGGAGAGCTCCGCACCATCTGGCGGAGCCCCTGCTCAAAGCCCACCCGAGCGTGCGCGCAGACACTGCTTTTTACCCGAGAAAAATTCCGAGCAGTTTCAAAATAAACAACAGACCGGCCGATAGCACTTTCTTCCCAAATATCAGCCGGCGAGGAGCACGTGGCCGCGCGGCTCGGCGCCCCTGGCGCGGCCTCCTGCGGGCCCGGCGGCCCGGGCTCCGGGCGGATCCTGGGGCTGGAGCGCGGGCGCGGCCGCCGGGCCGAGCCCAGAGCGCAGGGCAGGGCCGCCGCCACCCGCGGCCGGGCTCCCAGCCTCTGCAGCTGCAGCGCCTTCTGATCGGTCTCGGGCAGAACGCGGCTTGAAACTCGGGGTAGACAAAGGCGGGGAATGCGCCCCGGGCGCCCGGCTCCTGCGTCGCCCTCTGCCTTCCTAGGCCCTGCCCTCCCCGCGGCGACCGAGGCCCTGGGGCGCGAGCAGCGGGCCTGGCGGGCGACCGGGGGAGGGAGCCGCAGGGCCCAGCTCCGCACCCGGGCCCCGGCAGCGCCACCGGTGACCTCGCCGGGAGGGTGGCCCGGGTGGGGCGCGGCGCCTGGCCTGGCTGGCCCGTGCACCTGCCGCAGGTCGGGCCGAGCGCCCCCGACCCCTTGGCGCCCGAAGCCCGGTCACTGTGTAACCCCCACCTCTGCTTCTTGCCCCGCGCAGGCCATCGTCTATGAGGGCCAGGACAAAAACCCGGAGATGTGCCGCGTGCTGCTGACCCACGAGATCATGTGCAGGTGAGCGCCGGCCCGTGGGCGACAGGGCGCGGGGGCGCGGGGCCTTGGCGCCAGCTGCGTCCACAAAGGCCGCGGCGTCCAGGCGCCGCCACCCGCCCATCGCGAGCATCGATTGAAATGCAATCGGCCCGAGCCAGGAGCCTCCGCCCGATTTCCCCCCCGGTGGCGACGGGACCGCGACTGGCTGCTCGGCAGAGCGGATTCGTGTGTTGGCCGTGTCGCTGCAGTGTGATCAAAAAATGCAGAAGGGTCCTAGGTGATGCGTCTGTCCTAGACGCTGGAGGAGGCAGGAAGCAGAGGCCTCGTGTTACCACTCCCTTCCAAAGCGCCGGCATCAGGGCCGCTGGGCTGCCTGCTATTGATGAAAAGGAAACTGTTTTGTACTTATTACCGAGCGCGCTTGTGTGAGAATTGCACTGCGACTCTGTCAGCTCACCTCTCCCCGAGAGCAGCGGTGCATCCTGCACGTTGTTGTTAGGTAGCGCGCCTTAGTTGGGATCTCTGTCAGAAGAGCTATTTCCCACCTGTTTTTTTTTCTAACTACCACAAGAGTTTCACCCCTACATGGCAAATAAAAATGCGTCATTGACTTTGTATGTGTGGCATGTGAGATATGGTTGCAAGGAATAACAAGGAGGCGCTTTGCAGCGGCCTCCCAGGCTACAGTAGCAGGGCCCGTACTCTGAGGGGCATCCTTCGCCTGGCTGTGATGCCGGTCGTCCAAATGCCATTTCTGAGCAGACATATTGTTACAGCACTAATATACAAAAGCTGACTTTTTCTCATATCAGGTAATAAATATAAATTACAACCAATAAAGTGGAATTTCTTTATTATCCACTTCTGCATGTACTGCAATTAACATAGAAGGCGCACAGATGTGATTTAAGCTGTAAGTGGGAGACTGTAGACTTTCTTTAATCACTTTAGCTGTCAGCTTTAAAAGGCTTTATATACTTTGCCTACCATATGGTGTTAATTTAGCTAATTTAGACATGTAACCATTATACAAGTATGCTTTTTTAAAATGCAAGAAGCATAACATTTTTGCTTCATTTCTGCTTTAATTAAAGTTTCAATAACGGAGTTAAGGTAGGCTTAAAGAAGGGACAATAGGAGTTTGTGGTGGATGCATGCGTGCTTTTGTGCTGATCATTAATAAATGCCCAAAAGAAATATTGAAGAAGGTGGCATCTTGCATCTTTTCCAGAAATAACAGCTTGACAATTAGAGGTAAACAAAAGCTGAAGCTGTGAAAAGTTATTCCCAAGCCTCCTGCCTCCCCTTCTCCTCAGTTCACTGCAAAGACAAACACCGACAATGTGTTTTCCGTATTTCAGCATCACAATTTATATGGTAGGTCTGTTACCAACTAGTATGAACAGATATGTCCAACTTGGCTCATTCCCACAGAGAGTTGCCACCTAAGTGTAGCTGCAGAGCACACCGGCCTGCTGGATTTGAATTTGCCTTAACTAACTACCTTTGCAGGGGAGTTGTATTCTTGACTCTTACTGCTTGGCTGTCAGACTGGAAAAAAAAACCCAAAACAAAAACATAACAAAACCCAAAAAAAGCACAAAAAGCCAAACCAACTGCAAGGAGGGCCTGAAAGGTTGCCACACAGATTAAAAACCACTGTTTACCATTGCTCTGCAGCCGGTGCTGTGACAAGAAAAGTTGTGGCAATAGAAACGAGACGCCCTCAGACCCTGTTATCATCGACAGGTAAGGCTGACTTCTTTGTTTTTCAAAACAAAACTGCAGCAGCAGCAGCAAGGAAGCCCTGCCTTGCTGGGTCCCAGTCGCTCCATAGCTCGGAGTCTGAGTTGGACTCATCTTGCGTTCTGTGCGTCTGTTGTCCGTGTGTGCTTCCGTGCACAGGTGGGTTGACTTGGAAACCTGGTGGCTCGCTCTGTGGGGATTCGGTAATTGCTCGGAGTTGTCAGGGGAAGTAGTTTCATCTGCCACTGTGCTCACTGTGAGGAGCGCTTTCTGCCTGGAGACTTTCCGACTTTACACCCAGAGATATGGCAGAAAATGCCTTTTGCTAATTTGCTAACAAGTCCTTCATTTTTGCATTATTTTTATCTCGTCTGATAGCTTGAGACTTGGGTGGTGCACTGCTGTAATCGTTGCTCAATGTGAGAGTGAATTTAATCTGCTCTCAATTAGATGCAAAATGTATCCTAATTTTTTTTCCAATTGTGGCTGTCGCTTTATGTCAGGTAGCAAATATGTAACTAACAAACCAAAGTTGTTATAATTGAAACTAATTACACATGCCGGTTACATTTTCCAGCATTAATTTCCAGAACCAGATTAGCTGTATGCATTGTTTAAGTTTGCTGGTTTTCATCTTGCTATTTATCATATTCCTTGGGCCACGTTGCATCCCTTTAAGACACTAATCATGAGTCCGCACAGGGCTGATGTGGATTTGGCATTGCTTTGGTGGAGATGACAGAAACAGCCCTGTCCTCCCTGGAAGGCTCACTGCTACCCCTGGGTTTTGGTGACCTGGGGGCGAGGAGGGGATCTTTGTACCAACCACGGCAGCAGCCAACGGCTCGGCGTGTGATTGAGTGCACATTTTGAAGTTGGTACCCGAGTGGAGTCCATGCTAGCCATGTCCACGTGACACCAGATTTGGGAAGGATGGGGTTAGACTGTTTTGAAGGGGGGTTGGATTTCAGCAGCTTTCATTACACAGTTATCTTTTGATCATGAACTTTGCTGTCCAGTGCCTGAAAAATTAAACCCGGAGAAGTCCACGAGTTAAGCCTAAAGAAATATGCGCCTCCGGTGGAGAGCAATGCTGATGTTTAACTAGCTGGGATAGCTGTTTGCTTAGTGGGGAATGTTCGGTATCTGACAGAAGGCACTGTGCTCTTATTAGTAATCAAATAGGGTTGGCCAGTTGTGGCCGTCACTCAGGCGATGGAGAACAAGTTCAACACTTTATAGAACTCAAACTGCAAAAATCAATATAATTATATTTGTCTTTAGTGTTGTGGCCATGGAAATCACACAGTCTTGGGTTGTTGTCTTGTAACTGGGTTTATTTTATTTTTTGATTGCCTCTGGGTGTGGGAGCGGCTGTGGGAACCTGGTCTGAATGGAAGACGCTGCACAAGGCAGCACATGTTGGGTGGAAAACTGTGACAGTGTGTCTTGAGTTGTCTTCGGTCTGTGATATTTATGGATTTGAAAGGCTGTCTCGCTTTTCGGTCTTGAGGCTTAGCTGCCACGACAGTGAAGGAGCAGTGTCGTTGGAATGGCATTTGTAGAGGCTGCGTTTGCTCTTTGGATTCGCTTTGCGTTTGTGGACCATCCGGTTGCCTATTGACTGTTGGTACTGAATACCTTCTGATAGCTCACTTTGTATCACCTGATGGCAAATATCTTCCCCAGAGATGCAGAAATATGCCCTTTAATTCTTGTTTGCGTGAACGCTCTCTTATATTTGATGAATTAAAACCTGTGCCTCAGATCACTATACTCCTGCCACCTAAAAGAAGAGAGCTATCGTTTGATATTCTAGAAGCATGAGAGGAGGGGAGAAATGTAAAAACATTTGGTTAATGGGTTTACCGTGTTTATTTGAATAAGGAGGCTGGGAGCTCCATTTACGGCTGGCGTGACCGCTTTGGAGGTCTTAATTATTGATGGAGAATCTGCCGGGCTTCCAGATTCACAGATAGGACCATTTTCTAGGAATTTTAATCACCTTCCATGTTAGGGATTTTCAGGTAAGGAGCGCTTTCTGTGATGAAATAGAATGTACCTTTATACCGTTCTTAAGAGAGCTGTCACTTGGAATGACAAAATACTGTTAGTGTTCGGCTACCTGCTGCAAGCCCCTGTGAGCTGCCTGCGGTTCTGGCCTCTCTCCTGTTCCAGGCGTGTTTCTGGGGGAAAAGGGAAGGAATGCACTGGTGGCTGGGGCCCGTTGTGTTGCTCTGAGAGAGAAACACCTGCAGGAGGGGCGCGCCTTTGGGCTGTCGTGGTCCTTCGCAGTTGAGCTGCGTTTCGGTTTCGTGAGGCTGGGCGTCCGTGTGTGCGTGGGGTGGGACTGCCTAAAATCAGTTGCTCGTGAGCACTTCCGAGCGGTGTTTCCTCTTGAGTATTGCAGAATGAAACATCCCGTCACGTCGGTGAGTCAGTCTGCGGCTTCACATCAGCTGTGCCGTCATTTGGTTAGTTGGCTTAAGAAAGAATTATCTACAGCGTGCTCCGCGGGCTCCTTTTGGCCTTTGGATACGTTTAGCAGGTTTTGACCAGATAAGGCGTATTTGTCCTGAGGATAGAAACCAATAATTCCTGCCTGAATTGAGATCAGTGGGGCCGTCTGTGAGGCCCACTCCCGCTCTTCCTCCGGCGGGTCGTGGCGCTGCTGGAGGTGAGCAGAACGAGAAAGGAGCGGGTGCTGTTGCCCGTAGTCGCCTTCTGTAGACTGACGCCTCGAGTCCATCAATCACCCAGTTTAGTTTCCCTATCTTCCAGGAACATTAAAAACTTACAGCAAAAAAAGAGGGGCAAAGTGAGGGAACCCTGAGTCACAGCACCCTCTTTACCTGCTAGGAAGCCTTCCCTCCCGTGAACGTCTTTACCCCATAAACCCTTCTTGAGAAACCATGCTTTAGAGGTCCATGGATATGACTGTACTACCGTGTGTTTAAAATCACGTAACAAGTCAGGAGCTAAAGGCGAGAGAGACTGTTGTAAGGTAGAAAGCATGCTCAGGAAAGATGGGGCAACAACTGTTTGTGGCAATGTGGGGTTCTGAGCTGCAGAGAGCCAACGGAAAGGAGGAGAAGGCACACACACGTGTTTGCTTGCTTGGGCACCCCCCACGTGTGGGGGTGCACGCATGCACGTATGTACGCACCACACGTGTACACACATGGGATTACGTACATGTGCACGCACCACGTATATGTACATGTGCACATATATGCGGGTGCATGTGTACATCTGTGCTCACACCCACATGTGTACACATGCATATGTGTGCATATGTGCATTGATGTGGGCGCATGCAAGTGTGCATGTGTGTCTGTGTGTACATGTACCTGGATACATGTACATATGTGTGCATGTATACATGTGTGTGCACACCCACGCTCATGTATATATGTGTGTATCTCTGTCTGCACACATACATACACATATTTTTTATGGCAGTGCTGAAAAGGATGGGAGTATCATTTTCCCTAGTGGAATAATGTTTTCTGGGAAAACACAAAAGCAGATGGTGTTCATTAGGAACACCCATTGTCCGCATATCCCAACTATGAACAGATAAATCTCTCCTGTTTCACCCGCGCATTCCGAGGGCTGTAAATGATTACAGGATGTCGGTGGAACTGCTAAACCAAAACCACACTTTGGCTCCCATCCGTCCCTCGTGCCATCCCAGTCTGGCTCAGTGGGACCCCTGCATGGTTCCGGTAAGGTGCATCCCCGCCTATCCCCTCACCGGGCTCAGCCTGAGTGGACCCCAGGGTGCGGGTCCAACTGTGGCAAAGGGAAAAGATGGACTGGTGGCAGAGGTGGCCCGAGCAGGGCGAGGGCACTGTCCGGCCAGGCCACGGCCGCACGCGGTGGCTGTGTGCAGCTCTGGGAGCATGCTCGGTGGGGCGGTTCCAGATGGCACGGTCTCAGGCGTCCTGCTCGCTGGCATCTCTGTGGCAGGCTGGGCCCTCTCTCCAGTAAATCGGGCATTAGTCTATAGAGTTGGAGAGACTTATCATTCCAAGTGTGTCCTACTCTACTGTCTGGAAGCCAGACATCTGTTTATTCCATTTTCTTTCGTACAGAGTTTGGAATAGCTTTTAGTTTTTTGGGGAAAAGTTTTGTCATATTTAACAGCTGTTACAAAATTTCAACCCTGTGGGCTCTTAAAATACTTTTCGGCTGACCTCAGATTTTTATACATAAATGACATTGGGTTGTAGGAAAATAGTGTTTACTTAACCTTTCATCCGCGATTTCACGTTGTTGAGTCGGACGGGCTGCTGCCACCCATTTTAGCTCGGTGCCCCCCAAACCCTGCAAAGCTTCACTGGGATTCATTTACACGTTTGAAGCTCCTACCTTTAAAGTGATTGCAGAGCCCACGGAGCCCAGGACTGATTGGAGATTTTCTTCCCCTTTTTTTTTTCAGTCAACAGTGTTTCCTTTCACTTCCTGTCACAAAGGTCAAAGAGAGCCGACCTTTCCTGGCAGTCCTGCTCACTGAATTATTCATGGGATTGACTTTTTGTCAGCACACACAGTTGTGCTTTGGGACATTTTATTCATTTACCTCATTTCAAGCGCCTTTCTGCACCTGTTCAAGTATTAATATCGTGTAATTTGGGCCTAATGCCGATTTTGCTGAACACTCATTATATTTTTTATTAGCCATATTCCAAACGATTATGTACGATTAGTACCCAGCCTCACAAACAGCGTCGGCCTATTCCCTCGCCCCTTCCATCTTCTGGTCAGGTTGTGTTCTGAAGCAGGCAGGATAAACATTTGACCAGTCCCAGTGTTTTATTCCTGCTCCATCTCCAACCAGAGACTTCAAGCCTCCCCCCGCAGCGGCTTTGCGAGCCGCGATTAAATCCACCTCTGCAGAAGCTGTACAAATGCCAGCGTTTATAAGGTCAATGCGTTTGTTAAAAATGCTATGTAAATGAGAATCTGCAAAAAGGGACATTAAATAAAATTAAATTCAT